TGTTGACTGTTGCAACTAAAAAGAGACGGAGAAAGTAGTAAAAGTTGGTAGTGTTTAAGAAAAAGAGTGATTCTGAAAAAGTAAAAGTCGGCAATGTTTGATAAAATAAGTGCTTTTTGTGTAATAAAAAAAGTCAAAAGCAGTTTAAAACACTCATCAATCTGTTTTCGGCTTTTAGCTTTTAAGTGATTAATTTAAGCCGAAGTTGTCACTTGAAAATACCAATTTCAAGTTTTTAAAGCTAAAAGCTAAAAGTGCTCCTTTTAATTTGTTACAAACACTCCCTTAAATTCATGTCCAAACGAAACCGTTACAATTACAAAAAACAAAAAGTTACACACTTACACCGCAAGAATAATGGCGCAAATTAGTACCTAGACAAAAAATTAAAACAAGTCCCTATTTTTCCTCCGCTTATCACATTATTACTAAGCCTGGTAGGTAAAGGCATCCCCATCCATTAGATTATCTAAAGTTTAATTGGATGATGTGGAAGATTATTTGAAAGATTATCATTGTGAGTGAGAGATTATTTATTAAGGAGATTATTGAAAAAGAAAATCTGGTATCAAGATTTGGATTCCGGATTATTTTAAGTTGTAGTTAAATTGCATTTAATTAATGCATGGTCTAGAAAACTAATTATTGAGTATCATGGTTGATGAAGAGTTTAAAGATTTGAGATCATTTAAAGTTTATTGAATAAATAAGATTCGGCAATGATGTGTTATAGAAAAATCATTTATTTTAAGATCATGAATAATGGGGATGCTCTAATACGTACGAAGTAGTATATAGAGCAATAGTTAAAACGTAGAAGCTCTTTACTTAATCATTCGGTCAAAAACCTGTCTTGGAGCTCGTTTGGTGGCCTTGTTTTATGGTTTATCAGGCTTACCAATCAACTTTTTCACTAAACACGTAACATTTTGATTTCACGCGCTGAATTGCGTATTAATAAGAGAAAGTAAAGTTGAAGTTACTTTTCTGGCTGCATTGACTGAAGTTACTGTAGAGGACCATTTTAGTTTTTTTTTTCATATAATTTTTTCTTTATTTTATTGATAAATTAAAATATATCTTAAATATAATTTTTTCTAAATAAGCAGAATCAACCAATCCAGCCACTTCATTCAAACCTTCATAAATTTCGGCAAAATCATCCATTACAACCGATTTGGGTATTACAGCCGGAGAATAGCCAGTTCGTATATAGTGCATCCGGGTGTACGTACACCCGGCCCATGTAAGAAAGACAGCTCAACCACTAATATATGTAAAAAAAATTGGTGGCATTTTTGTAATTTAAGCGGAAAGTCACGGCTTCCGCTAAATGAGCAATAGTGTACGTTTAATGAGCATCTGACCTATTTTATTGAGTATTAGGAGGCTAACAATGAGTTTCACGATCTCTGCTTCATACTCCCTCCGTCCCATAAAACTTTGCCATCTTTCCTTTTTGGGACGTCCCAAAAAACTTTGCCACTTTCCCTTTTAATCAATTATTTTGTGGTTTCTGTTATTTCTCTCTCCTCTGCACAAAATTCAACCACACAATTTTTACTTTATTATTCTCCGTGCTGATCAACTTTGGCAAAGTTTAAAGGGACGGAGGTAGTATCTTCTAATTCAATTTTTTTCTTATTTTTTCTTTTATAAAAATTCTCATTTGAAAAATTCAAAAGGTCATTTGAAATCGCTAATGTGCTCAAATCCTCATTTGATTATGCTCATTCCGTGTAAGCGTCATGCTCATTTGATATGTGAGAGCGATGCCATAAGGGCTGGATTGATCATGCTAGAGTCTCTACAACACCGGAAATAGAAGAATGACGACGGACTGGAGACGCCTGCATTTTGACGGACTGGAGCACTGGAGATTGAGCAACCCAGACGAGACGCCAACAAATTAGGTTGCAGCAAGATGGAATCTGCTCCTGGTACGACTGCACCAATGGAAAAACTCTTCGCGCCGCGACAATGATGACAGTGAAGCTCGAATCAATGAAGGATGCTGAAGGTTCTGGCCAACGGTACTAACGCAAAGGCTCCTCAAGTTGCAATACGCCTATACCTAATCACCTGCAATGGTTTCCCCTGAAACTCGAAAGACGGCGGTAGATTTCATGAAGAAGACGATCGGCAAAAGAAGTGGCCTGAGAAACTACGAACATATCAAAGTCCTGTGGATGAGGGGATTAGTAAAAGGCTTAAAGTTTCTTCTTATTACAAAAATACAGGGTGTACATGTACACCCGTGTGTAGGATATAATTTGAGGAGAATAGCAGTCCATACCATAAGACGTCTAGTAAGACATTATTTTCTGTCAATTTTTTTCAAATTGATTGAGGAATATATTTATATTAATAAATGAAACTTTTCATTGACATTATAATCTATAGATAATACTAAATTGATTATTGGGAGAATTTGACTTTGCATCTTATTTTTTAGGTGGTATTCAACTTTGCGCCCCATTTTCAAAAAACTTTGACTTTACACCCCATTCCACTTATAAATCCTTTGAGTTTGCACCCCATTTAATTTGTTGTCTTCACTAAATGTTATGTAATGTGGTGCAAAATCAATGTTTTTTCAAAATAGGGTGCAAAGTTCATTATCATCCAAAAATTGGCGTGCAAAGTTCACCCAAAAATTGGCGTGCAAAGTCAAATTCCCACTTAATTATTTTACTCTATTCATACTGTTTATTCAGCATACAAAATAAACAATCTTATATGCAAATATCACTTAATCCAGACAGACATCCTAATCGAAACAGACATCCTAATCCCAACAGACATATTAATCAAGACATGACTTAATAGAAACAAAGTAAACAACCCCTTAGTACCGTAACAACTCAACAAATCCAACGTTAAAGACATGAGTAAAGTAAACTAGATGTATTTCTTTTTGAAACATTTCACCTTGAAATGTATATACTCCACACTTTTCTTTTTATGTAGGTCAAAATAAACTTCACACCCATCTTTGGTTAGTTTTTAATTTAAAGTTACCCTTATACTCTTACTTTATTATCTACTATATACCCAATTTCTCTCTCCTACTACACATTATTTACTTTTTGTAGGAGTACCGTGGGAATGTCAAAATCAAAAATATCACTTTCTTAAAAACCGTAAAGTCAAACTATGAATTTATTTAGAAATGGAGAGAATATTACATAGGGCATACGTGTCATGGTCACATCACACTACCAAATACGGAGTACTTGTAAAAAAAGATGCACACTTATGCAAATTAGAGGAGTCAAGACTTAAAGAATTTATATTGAGGGGGCAAAATCTTAAAATTTCATAATTTTTTTACTGCCTATATTTTTTTTTGATACATCTAAAATGAGTCTATATATATTTACACACACACACATATATATACGTACCAATTTTTTTCTTGGGGGGCCGAGTCCCCCTCCAGCCACCACTGTCTCCACCATTGGCCGTGTGTACGCCGTTTGTGAATAGACCATTTTTTTGTCTATGAATAACTTTTTCACAAATAAAATACTACCTCCGTTCCCATTTTAACTTCCAAATGGGTTTGGCACAAAGTTTAAGATAGTGGATATTGTGTGGTGGAGAGTTGTGCAGAGGAGCGAGATATGTGTAAGAAATGTTGTGAACCACAAATTCTTTACCAAAAAGGGAAAGTAGAAATTTTAATTGGAACGGACGAAAAAGGAAAGTTGGAAGTTTATTTAGGAACAGAGAAGTATATTTTGTGTGTCAACAACCCATTCACCAACGAAAAATATTTTGTTTACAGCCGTGTGTACTAGACATGTACAAATGAGCATGTAAACCAAGTAGGGTTGTATGAAAATACACCTACACGAATCTATTACTCCCTCCGTTCCTAAATAAACTTCCAACTTTTCTTTTTCATCAGTTCCAATTGAAACTTCCACTTTCCCTTTTTGGTAAAGAATTTGTGGTTCACAACATTTCTTACACATTTCTCTCTCTTCTGCACAACTCTCCACCATACAATATCAAACCCATATGGAAGTTAAAATGGGAACGGAGGTAGTAGATGAAATTTGGAGTGGGTGTACATGCGCAGTCTTAGCGCGATATGCCAAGTATTCAACCTTCTTCCAACTCCATGATTGAACCATTCCAGTGCAGAACTACTCAAGATATTTCAAAAGTTGTTCTATATTTATTCAATATTAAACGGGACAAAACTCTTACACACTTCTAAAATACCAATTATACCATTATATACATAGAGTACGATACCAATGAGAACAATATTCAACGTGAGAACGTGAGAACACACACATTCAACCCAATGTGACACACAATAGATCCTGTATGGTGCATATTTTAACTTTGCTCAAACAAAGACAACATAAATAGTTGCAGTGGCCTTTTGGTAAATATTAAATATTAAGTTCAGCATGAAAAAGTGAAATGGGCGAGTTTCATTGTGCATCACATCGAGGTAAATGTAGTGTTTTCACGTTAAGCCTTGAGTAGCGTTCATGTCTAGTCGGCCTGACGAAAATTGCCGTCCGACCGAGGTCATTTGGGGCCCTTCCCGATGAAACATTTTGATGAATTTTTTTGAGTTTGTTCTTTATCAAGTCTAATTTGTATTTTTTGATTTTTAGAACTTTTAATTTAGCTTCGTAAGATGCAGATTTTTGTTATTAAAATTGATTTAGCAAAGCATAAAATGATTTAACTTTTATCAACAATCAGTTCAAAATGATTTAACTTTATCAGCATTCAATCTTGAAAATACTATTTTCATATTTTCATTTATGAATATTTCAAAAACTTGTTGATTTTCATTTTAATTAATGATTTTGTGGTGGTTGTTATTTAGGTTGAGCTATGCCACCGGCCATTCAAGACAAAGGAAATGATACGTGTAAGCGACTTATAGCTAGCGGGTCTAGTTCAGGTGTGGTCTACTGTAATTATTAACATAGTCATTGTCAGAGCCATGCAGACTCACTGTTATAGGATATCCAAACACCGTTTTTGTTTCATTGGAAACTTAACGGAAAAAGGGGGAAAATATGAGGCTATGGTGGGGTTCTTAACTCCAACCAAATTGAATGCCTTCCTTTCTTCCATTCAGTGCATATGTTTTCACAAATCTTATCCGGCCAATGCACTTCCTCTAATTACGGGTTCTTTTATCTCTGAAACGCTTATTGCCTCCCGTCGTTCCAAACCCATCACCGGCCACCGCAATCTCCGCCGCTGCCACATTGGTGGCGTTTCTCGTGAGATACATTTAACAAGAGTCCGCTATTTCGATGGCGGACATTGTGAAACATATACTAGCAAGGCCTATACAATTGGCGGACCAGGTCGTGAAGAATGCCGACGGCGTTAGCTCCTTCCGGCAGGAATGTATCGAGATTAAAGCCAAAACGGAGAAGCTCCTCGGCCTTCTCCGGCAGGCGGCGCGTGCCAGCAGCGATTTGTACGAGCGCCCCATGCGCAAGATCATCGACGACACAGAGCAAGGCCTTGAAAAGGCCCTCACCCTCATCTTCAAGTGCCGGGCTAGCGGGATCAGCAAAGTCTTCACCATCATCCCCGCCGCCAATTTCCGGAAAACCTCCCTGCAGCTCGAGAATTCCATCGGCGACGTCTCGTGGCTCCTCCGTGTATCAACTCCCGCGGATGATCGCGACGATGAGTACCTCGGGCTTCCTCCTATCGCCACCAATGACCCAACCCTCCACCTAATTTGGGAACAGGTTGCGATCCTCTGTTCCGGTTCCGTTAAGGACCGCTCCGAAGCGGCGGCGTCGCTCGTCTCCCTAGCGCGTGACGGTGACCGGAATGCGAAAATGATAATAGAGGAAGGTGGGGTTGCGCCGCTGTTGAAATTGGCGAAGGAAGGGCGGATGGAGGGGCAGGAGAACGCCTGCAGAGCTATCGGGCTGCTCGGCCGGGATCCGGAGAGCGTGGAACATTTATGTCACGCAGGTGTCTGCCAGGTGTTCGCGAAAATTCTTAAAGGAGGACATATGAAGGTTCAAGTTGTGGTGGCTTGGGCTATCTCCGAATTTGCTGCAATCCATCCCAAATCCCAGGACCATTTCGCTCAAACCAATACGATCCCATTGCTGGTTAGCCATCTTGCGTTTGAGACCATTCAAGAACACAGCAAGTATCTCATAGCCAGCAAGCAGCAAGGAATGTCAATACATACAGTCGTGATGGCCAATTCAGGCTCTTCTGCTACATCCTCTGCTAATGGTAGTGCCTATGAGGACAAGCTGAATTCGGAGAGCCAGGTCCCACATCCCATGGGCCACGAAAGAAACGCCAAAGAAATGCATAATGTGGTGACCAACACAATGGCAGCCAAAGCAGCTAATGATAACAAGGTAGCTAATCAACGCCACAAGCAGCATCATCATCACCAAAAGCAACAAGTTGCCTTCCCGGGAAGTAGCATTAAGGGGCGGGAATATGAATCTCCCGAAACCAAAGCCGAAATGAAAGCAATGTCTGCTAGATCTCTCAGGCATCTTTGCGCGGGAAATGTTAGCATATGTAAAAGCATCACGGAGTCAAGAGCGCTTCTATGTTTTGCGGTGCTACTTGAAAAAGGAGTCGAGGACGTGCGCTATCATTCGGCTATGGCATTACTAGAAATCACTGCAGTGGCTGAGCAGAATGCTGACCTGCGTCGCTCGGCTTTCAAGCCCAACGCGCCTGCTGCCAAGGCTGTTGTGGACCAGTTCTTAAGAATTATAACGAAAGCGGATGATTTTGACCTTTTGATTCCAAGCATAGCATCTATTGGAAACTTGGCTAGAACCTTTCGAGCTTCAGAAACAAGAATAATTGCTCCTTTGGTGGCACTACTTGATGATCGGGAACCGGAGGTGACTAGGGAGGCGACAATCGCACTTAACAAATTTGCATGTACGGAAAATTTCCTCCACGTCAACCATTGCAAAGCCATCATTCAACAAGGGGGTGCTAAGCATCTCGTCCCACTTATTTACTTTGGTGAGCAAATGGTTCAAATCCCTTCGCTAACTTTGTTGTCTTATATTGCAATGAGCGTTCCCGATAGCGAGGCTTTGGCCCAAGAGGACGCGTTTATAGTTTTTGAGTGGTCGATAAAGCAAGCACACTTGATGCAAGACCCAAGAGTTGTAGCTTTAGTGCAGGAAGGGAGAAACAGTTTGGAACTATATCAATCTAGAGGATCAAGGGGCTATTGATTGATCTACTATATGCATTAGTTCCAAGTTTACCACAAGGTTGTGGTGACCTCGTCTCGAAACATTTGTGGGATGAATTTTTTGTCTTACACAGACGATGACACTCTACAATTTTCGGGCAACACAACTTTTAATGCTTGAGACTTGAGTTGAATGTAATCAAGAGAGACTATAGCTTCTTTTTATGCCACCAACGGTTGAATAGAACTCTACTGAAATGATAGTACGAACTGAGTACTTTGTATATGTATACTCAAACTCCTTGAGTTTTTGCATTTAGTTGAAGCAAGACAGGTATTATCGCAAACTTTTTAATATTATGAAAAACCCATCAAATTACTAGAAAATGAAGAATACCAAAAGGAGGGGGCCAAGCCAAACCACTCCACGAGGGGGCATACCATGATGATTATTATCCAACAAGCCAAAGGGCTTAACCAAGAGAAAACAGATCCATAAAACATCACCACACCCAATATAAATTAAAATTCAAAATTACAAAGCTTACTGGGAGCAATTCCAATGGTTTTATTGGAGGATCTGCTTGCATATTTAAAAACGAGGAACTTTGCACTGTTAGTCTTTTAACTTCCAATTGTGCACATTACTAGCCGTACATATAACTCTCACATATTTGATCGCGTAGTTAATAAGTCTTTGCAATTTAAAGACTTTTCCACCGCTTTTAGAAGAAATTAAACGTTGGTGACATCTCTTCCTATGAATTTATGAGCACTTCTTTACGTCAACCCACAATTTTTATGTTTGTTTGGAATAGAAATAGTCATTAAAATTAATAAATCAAACCACATTACAATAGACTCAAGATCACACCAACTCCACACACAAGCGCAATGATCAGACATTGAGTCTACTATCCACAAATGAGATGCAAGAGTTACTAATCATGTGATGGATAAACTGAAGTTTAACATCACCCGGTAAGTCTTCATCCTTCAATAGTGGTTTTAAAACACTTGCAACTCTACCGAAAACAAAATGAATGAATAAAATGTAATTTAAAAATACTAAAATAGGTGAAACTACAAAAAATAAACTGACATAAGGAAACAATAAAGCAATGTGCCATTAGTTTCCAGTTATGTTGCATCCTAACCTTATTCCATTGTAGCTGTAGATCGTCCTTAACTTTCTGAAAGACAATCAAATTTATTATGACCTTGTACTGAATAATTTGATATAAATCTGTGTGCTACTCCTTCCTCCTGTGGCATTGGTTCTAGAGGAGGGCAAATCAACTCGATGAATGTCATTAACGATAATTACAAAATAGCATAACACTGGTACTTGCATCATTAATCTCAAAACACGACTGCCAATATTGACAGAAGAAGAGCCCAGGAAATCATAGGGAATATAATATCACTCATATGAGTATATAACCACTTTTAAATTGCGTGTGAATTCTCTGTCAAACAAAGAAAAGACAAAGATCGTATCAAACAAAGCTATGCTATTGATCCGAATCGATCTGCACAAAGCAATACGCGGCACACAAACTTGGTTGAAACTTAGACGGCAAAGAGTAGGGTGAGTTTGGGAGTTGAGTTTTGGAGGAGAGGAAGGTTAACGGGGGTTTATAACCCTCCTTTTTATGTTTGGAAGTTTAAAAAAATCGGAGGGGATGGTTTTGGAGGGCTTTTGTAACCCTTCAAAACCTTCCAAATGCTTAATTTTTAAGTTCCCCCAATTTGGAGGGTTTTGAAGGACAATTAACAAAATGGTAATTTACGCTAAATTAAAAAAGGGGTTGCTAGGCGCACCCCTCTAATTGCTTAATGTAACCTTAGGATGACTAATTAGTCCTTTTCCATTCTTTAATCAAATTTGAAATAAAACATGCTACGGGATACAGGGATAGTTGATAGAAGATTAGAAGCTTAAGATACCCATGTAGGACCGGACAATACTTCCGTGTATATGAAAAATCAATATCAAGATTTACTCTAAACCTAATAATTTAGTGACACATGGCAAATAATTACTACATATTATTTTATAAAATTACATCGTAGAAAAGTCAGCCAACATATGGTTTGAAGTCAGATGGGTTAGCCCCTTTTACATTGGGTTAAGCCAGGTGATCGGGTGATGTCATAACTATTTCACTTTTGCTCCCATCTTTACCAAAAATATTTAAAAGTTAATCAATTTTTTATGATATCTCAAATAACAATAATATTATATATGTAAAATTTTGAAAAACAAAAGTATTCAGGTTTGGTCTATTTGTATCTGGATCGATAATTTTTTTACTATTGTTTAAAGATGTTTAAGTCCGGTCTGGTCTAGCTTAAGATAGTGACAAAAGTATTTAAAGATGTTTTTAATTGGATTGAAGTTTCCTGGGTTGGTCTGATCTAGTTGCTCTGTTTAAGTATGATCTGGTCCAGTTTAATCTGGTAGATTTCTATCGAAATCTAGTTTAGTCTGTTTGATTTTAGTCTGATCTGTTTAAGCCTGATTTGATATGAAATTAAAACTAAACCATTAAAAACATTTTAAATAGAGTAACCTTTTTCTTGTATTTGACAATACAATGATGTGTTTGTCAACAATATTGAAGTCTACATGTTTAATACTTCTGTCTTTTGGCGTTTTGTTACAACGCTTCATTTTCAGGCTAGCTAGCGCGCAATTCTGATTAATAATATATTTCATTATCCACTCGAAAAGAAATTATAAAAACTTGATTTTTAAAATTAATAATAAAAATAACTTAACAACTTTTTTTCAAGAAATTAAATTTTTAATACATTAATAAATAAAATATAATCAAAATAGAGTATGAAAATATTGTAGATCGAATTCAATATGTTGCAATTATTTAATAACGAAGACAAGAATGAATAGAATTGTTAAATTTTCAAATGGTGTCAATTGTATTTTACAACAAATTAATTGATGAATACACAAATGATTTATTTTAGTAAATTGAGATTTCATGCCGGTGTACTAATTAATTTAATACTCCGTATTACGTAAAAGGAAATAAGAAAAATTGAGAAGCATTCGTGCGCCCAATATGAAATGAGACGCAATGAGAAAAATTGTCCAATTATGAAAAATTGAAAAGCATTAGAATTAGTGGAAAGAATTGCTATGTGAGTTTCCGTGAGCAGAAGACTGCAAGAGGACAAATCGGTCCAAGAGTGGAAAAATAGATGCGCGCCCAGTCACTTTGAGGGTGCGCAAAGGAGGTCCGATTAAAAATGAATATCAGCTCAATGATTTGAATTCGTCATATCTCAAAGTGATTTTAACTATAATTCCTTCAAAAACTATCTTCTTCCAATTTTATTACTCCCAAAGACAAAGAAGAGTTTTCTCACCCTCCCCTCCCTTTCCTCTCCAACAACATACCTTCAAAGTCTTCCCCTCCCCTTTTCCTCCAAACTCCCAAACATACCCTTCCTCACCTAATCGGCTCCGATCCTCACCCTTCTGAAATAGAACTCTTAATCACTATAGGAATTATGTTTCATTAAGTGGACTAACCCTCAATTTTGATGTTTGGAAAATGAAATATTAGTAGTATTATGCAACAATTCTTCGTATACACAAAATTTGTACACACTTGACATATATTTGTATATAATTGTCTGTGTACACAGACAAGTACTATACAAGATGCATGTGTACACATACAACTAGGGGGTGGGTGTGTAGATACAATTACGCACAAATATGTGTCAAATGTGTACAAATAAAATTTTCTATATTATGATCATCAACTTAAATTGGGTAGTGCGACCAAAATGACGTGAACTACCATTAACTCGAGTTTTTTGTTGCTTTTTCATTATTCTCTTTTGTAATTAAGAAATATATTATCTCCGTCTCATAATCAGTTCATATTTTGACATGACATGGGGATTAAGAAATTGAAATTTGTGACCTAAAGTTGTGTAGATGAGAGAAAAATGTACCCGCACGGGTAGCTCAGTTGGTTCAGTGGTGGGAAATTTGGACCAAGTGACCAAGGTTCGAAACCCGCAGCGGCTGTGTGGAGGTCAGAGAACCTGAAATAAGGCTGGGCCTCTGGTGCGCACGGGAAAAAGGCCTACCATCATTGGGCCGACTGAGTCACCGTGATTAACATCCTCCCAAAAATCCTGTCGGGTCGGGGTATGAGGGGCTCCTGGGGTGGGAGATTCCACCTTTTGGACCTAATGAGAGAAAAATGTTATGAATCATAAGTTCTATATTAAAAAGGAAAAATGAGTTTATATTGAGATGGGCGAAAAGGAAAAAATGAATGGTGTTCTGACACATGGAGAATATATATGTTTTTGATGTTTAATTAACCTTTTATTCATTTTTATTTTGTTAGACTTAGCCCCAGGTTTATTTTATTTTACAAGAATCTTACCATTTTGTAATACCCAGTATACAAAAAAGGCTAAAGGGTCAAATAGGTCATCAAACTAACCTAAAAAGTGCAAATCATTCCTTATATATATAGGAGGTTCTGTACGGCCGTCATCATTTGGGGCGGTTCCCGATGAAATTTTTTGATGAATTTTTTTTAGCAGATTTTTCATCAAGTCTAGTTTACTTCTATGTTGTAAGAACCGGACCGGAAGGCGACCCAGACAAATGATCAGGTCAAGGGTCAACCCGGAACCGTTGGGTCAACCCGGTCAAAAGCGGTAAACCCGGTCAATGCAATATATATTTAATTAATTTATATATATCACACATATTGTTAAATTTGTAGAGTAAAAAATATTTTCCTTTCTTAATTAAAATACTAATGCGTATTAAATAGTATTATCTAGTACAAAATTTTTAGGTAAACTTACTAAACTATGAATGTATCTGGAATTAGAGGAGCAGAAAAATAAACATAACATTAATTACGGTGGGGGTGTTTGTGTAATAGCGGTTTACCCCAAACCTCCGTTTTTTTGCAATAGCAAACTTAACGCTGCTTTTTGCAGCGTGTTGCTTCCAATCCGCCAAAATACAAACACCCCCAGTGCGTTAAAATCATGTATAAAACTATAAATATGTTTTGCACTTATATTGAAATATTTTATACGAAGTATATAATTACAATATTATGTAGGCTAAAGGGTCAAATAGGTCCTTGTACCCTTTCGGATCGCTCAATTTGCCCCCTCAACCCAAAAAAGCTCCAATTGGCACCCTCAAGTATTGTTTTCAAAGGACATACCTCTCTCTTGTGATCTTCCGCGAACTTGAGAATTTCCTCTACTTTGACCTTGACCTCTACCTCGATCTCGACTTCTTCCTCCATTTCTGCCTCCCCCTCGTCTGTTAG